ATTTTATTAATTTTAATGAACATTGACATGGATTTTAGATTTCCATTCATTCATTGTTGCATTTTTCTCCCTGCTCCCTCCCCCAGGCCACTCTTCTCTTTGAAAAGTAAAATAAAAATTCCTTCATTGGTATACAATCCCCCCCTCCCCACTCCACTATGCAGCCTTCATTCTGGACTCTTGTCATGACCATAATACCCAATCATATATAGCTTTTAAACTGCTCTCTCGCTCATCTGTTTCAATGCAGTACACATAATTTATCCAATTTTTCTCAGTCTCACCCCAACCCTGAAGTCAGTCCCATTATACAAAAGTGGCACTATGTAGGATTTGTCCTTTTGTGACTCAGATATTTGACAATAGTTTTTTAGGTAAGAGATCAAAAGGAGTCATGAAACAAAATAATTAAACTCAATTTTATATATTTGGACAATCAAAGGAATTAAGTAAAAAGCAACCTAAATATCTGTGAGAAAAGGCTGCAAGTAACTTAAGAATTTAGCATTCTGAAAAATATAAAAAAAAATGCTTACAATTCAACAATTTGTTGTTATTGTTATGTGCCGTCGAGTCGCTTGCAAGACATAGTGACCCTATGTACAACAGCCCTAAACTCTGCTCTTTCCTGTGCCAATTGCACTATCTCCGACACACCCATCCCAATTGCCCCAGCCACTGAATCAATCCACCTCAGAGAGGGCCTTCCCTTCCGGCGCTGTCCCTCTACCCTACCAAGCACGATGCCCCTCTCCAAGGACCAGTCCCTCCTTACAACATGCCCAAAGTATGTTAGACGGAGCCTCAGAATCCTTGCCTCCAAGGAGCCACCCGGTTTGACCCTTTCCAGGATGAATCTGTCTGTTTTCCTAGCAGTCCATGGTACCCTCAATACTCTTCTCCAGCACCACAGCTCAAAGGCATCAATTCTCCTATCCTCCTTAGTCACTGTCCAGCTCTCTGATGTATAACAAGTGATTGCAAAGACCACGGCCTGTATCAGACGCACCTTAGTCTCCAGAGAGACACCACTGCTCTTCAGTATTTTGGAGAGGTCCCTAACAGCAGACTTTCCCATCGCAATACATCTTTAATTTCCTGGCTACTAGTGCCCAGAGTGTTGACTGTGGAGCCAAGCAAACTAAAGCAGTGTAACAATCTCAATCTCTTCACCATCCATCCTGATGATGCCAACTGGTCCAGTGGTGAGAATCTTTGTCTTCTTGATATTGAGCCTGAATCCATATTCTAGGCTGCAGTCCTTGACACTCTGCAGCAGGCGCTTCAGGTCCTCCTCAGTTTCAGCAAGCAGGGTTGTGTCATCTGCATATCGCAGACTGTTGATAGCTCTTCCACTAATCTTGACCCCACATTCCTCCTCATAGAGCCCAGCCTCCCGGATAATCTGTTCTGCATACAGGTTGAAAAGGTATGGAGATAGGACACATCCCTG